GCCGATAATCATAGCATTAACCTTTTCGAGAAGATTATTGATTAATTGAATTTTATCCGAAATTTTAGCACTATAAGAAAATTATTCTAACGATCAGTTAAAGCTTTAATAAATTATTAAAGAAGTAAAAATCATATTATTTAACACACCCGCCGAGAATTGCTAAAAATGGTCGATCTGGATCTTCTAATGCTTTTCCAAAGAATTCCAATTCTTTCGTTAACAAAGTTCCCGCGGCCTTAATTGGTAATTTCACACCAACCATTGAACTATGAGCACGATGTGCTGTACCAAATGCATCATTGATATATACATCTCCAAGTTCTGTTAAAGATGCTTGGAACTTTTCTATATCCTCAGAAGATGCTTTGATCTGTTTGATGTAAAATAAAAATATTGACAAATGAGTGAAAAAAAAAAAAAAAACAATGGGAGTTTAAATTTATAACAAATTAATGAACGTACTTTCTTTCCTTCATCATCTTTAATGGATCCTTCTTCTTCTATATGGAATCGAAGATTTTCAAGCAGGATCACTTGTCCTATAAAAGAAAACGTATTAACGAATAATGGATTTAGAACTCTCGAAATTTCGGATGACATACAAATAAATAGATAAATTACCATTGTCGGCCTTATGACATGCTTCACTGATAGCGGGACCGACACAATCACTCAAGAACGAGACTTCTCTGCTACTACCCAACAGCTTAGAAAGCTCAGCGGCAACTGGTTTAAGTGAATACTTTGGATTTGGCTTTCCATTTGGACGACCTAAATGAGACATCAAAATAACAGTCTTTGCGCCTAATTAAGAAAAAAAAAAAGGATGTAAAATCGGTTTACTCAACAAATTTAAAAAATTTATTCATAATATTCATATAATATAAATATATCATATAACTAAATTACCCTTATCTAAAGCATACTTAATAGTCGGCAAAGCAGCTACGATACGTTGATTGTTCGTTATTTTTCCATCTTGAAATGGTACATTAAAATCAACGCTAATGAAAATAAAATTCCCAATTTGTTAGAAACTTTAATTTTTTGTGTAATTTTATTAAAATTGGAAATTTAGAGTACCGAATTAAAACACGTTTATCCTTCAAATCAACACCTTCAATTGAAAGTTTATTTGTGATACTGTTGTTTGACATTTTTTTTCTTCGAGATTTTTTAAAGCAACTGAAGGAAAGGTTTGGATCAACGCTTTACGTATGTGTGTACGAACGTACCCTCACATAAATACTTTTTATAACCCAGATTCTCACGCCATTATAATCTTGTATTACTTATGCATGACTATCGTGATGTAATTATTTTGTATATATCTAAAATAGCCAGAATTATATAGAAAGAAATTTTATTGGA